ACATGAGGATGCAGAAAAGCACATTGTAACTTTGCTCTCTGTTTGTAAGTTTTGGAATTTTTTGTAATTACTATATTAGTAAGATAAGGAAAGACTGTGTTCCTTAGAACACAGTAGGCATTTAACCCAGTGATAAAGTTTAAATCCTTTTAGTAGAGGAGAATAATCTCCCTTAGTGGAGAACGAGGGACTCTTCAGAAGTTATATCTTATTAGACCCCTGAAGTAAATAGGCCTCTGGAGAAGTCCCATCTTCCTCTGTGATATAAGTACTTAATGCAGATTTTTGTGTTTTGAACTTCTCGATTGTGTTAGAATTTGGCTTTCTTATAAGTTAGAGTAGTTATCCACTAAAAATCTTCATTTTTTCTCTCCTAACAGATTATCTGTGAAAAAAAAATTAGTCATTCTGTAGAACAGTCAGTGCACTATATATGCACAGTGGAACTGTGCTACACAGAGCTTGAAAATCATTTGCAGAATTTAAAAAGAAGTGCAGCCTTAGCTATTGTTACATGTGCATGCAGGGCACCTGAACATGTTCATGGCTAAAGTACCTTGTGTTTCTTCAGGTGATTTCTATTGGCGCATACATTAAGCTAGTCTGAAAATAATATAAGTAAAATAGTCATATGTGCAGTCCAATATTGGACTCTGTTAATAAGTCAGCAGAGATGACAAGAGAACAACATCTTTTGATATTTAGTGATTGTTGTTTTTAATTTTTTCCTATTAAGGAAGAAGATGCAAAACTAATTTTCTATGTGTAACACAGTTATTTAACGACCATCTGTTAATAGATGCATAAACTTATTTGCAAATATTGTAAGTAGGTATAAAAGGGTAAATATTTAACTTTCAGGTAGTATTCTGAGACATGAAACCCTGACAATAACATTTTCAGTTAAAAACATTTTTTTCCTGTTTCAGAGTGCTGCAGCCACTGCAGCGACATTGGCTCTCCCTGCTGGTGTTACCCCTGTTCAGCAGATACTTACAAATTCAGGTAATTATCTGATCAGTGAAGCCAGTCACAAGTCTTGAGGCTGACGGTCCTTGAGGGAGAGACATTCTGAGGTCTACAAGACTCTCGCTATTTATACAGCTCATGTACTTTTTCTTGTCATTGCTCATTCATAGTGCTTTACAGTGTCCTTAAATTTAAAAAGCAGGACCTGGAAATCAGCTGTCACAAAGCAGCGTCATCATCACTTCACTAGATTCCGACTCTTTTTTTTTTTGCTCACAGACTGGTTAGATTTTCAAACATTGTCATTTTGACCTAGCAGTGGCATAGGTTAGATTCTGTGCTAGTTTTCCATGCATTTTAGACAAGTATATGAAGCCAAAAATTGCAGTTTTGCTGCCGATGCGGCATATAGCATGTTTAAATGCCGCTATGCTATATATTTGGAAAATAATGTATCACCTTTACAAACGTGTGATGCTTCGTGTTCAGCATTCTTGTATTGATTTTACAAGCTTGATGCCAGATATACTCTGGCATGGATAGTGAAGGAAGATCTGGTCATTTTCTAGACATGGGAGATGCTCTTGCCAGAATAATTTGCCTCATCTACTCAGAATCACCTCTTGGGCTACCAATTTAGCCTTCCTACTTCAAATATGTGTATATTTAAGGGATATGTAGATGAAATAAAACTGATATGTATAGCTATTTTAGGAATTTGGTCCTTTCCAATTTTAAGGAAGCAGATTTATGCTTTACAGCCAAATTCTGTAGTTTAATTCCATAGTTTATAAGTTTGTCACTTTTTGTTCAGTTGCATGTATTTGTAGTATGTTTTTTTACACAAGGGCGTGGGGTTGCCTGCAGAACTGTATTCCTTTTTCAGGTATACTTTGTTGTTTCAGTAAATAGGCTTTGCACTTGTGAATGGAAGACAAGAAGGAATATCAGCATTTGAGAGAAATGTGGAAAGTTGAGGATTTTCCAGCTTTTTGTTTGCTTCTCCTATGTCTGCATCTTTCACAAGTGCAAAGAACTCATTTCAAAATGTCTTAGATGCCTCTTTTCAAAGTCGGTGAACTTTTCAGAAGTTAGTGACGTGAGAAAGGAGGCAAAATAATAAAGCTATAGGGCAGAAAAAGACAACAGAGTTCGGATCAGAATACAAGAATTATGGGAAAAGGAAGGAGAGATGATTAATAAGCAGTAGGATAGAGTTTTCAAAGGATAACTGCACATCAATCACGATAAGGAGGTAATGCATGGAGGAATATATTAAAGTGGGTAACCAGAGCGACAAGAACCTCTGGGAATGGGGTTGTCATCTGAAAGGACCTTGGAAAGATCTACTAGCATTTGTAGTGGATAGACTTTTTTTGATGTGAATTCCTATAATTCCTGTTTTGGAATATGTTTGTTTTGTCTTCTATCTGTAAAATGTATCTTAGATGAAGTACATTCTACAGTAGAAAGTTAATATTTGAAATACTGTGCTGCTTTAAAGGATTAGTATTTGGCTTCAGGGATCCTGTATGCATAAATTGTTATTGAATTGCACACCTTGCAGGTGAAACAGAAAAGATAGGGACTCTACTGTAATAATTTTTTATATTCTTCTAGGAAATAAGTTTTTAAATCTAAGATTATATTTAAACATGCTTTTTCTTTTTTTTAAATACTAATTTGCTTGCGTATTTGTTTATTCCAGGCCAGATCCTCCAAGTAGTTAGAACTGCAAATGGAGCTCAGTATATCATTCAGCCACAACAGCCAGTCGTTCTACAGCAGCAGGTCATACCCCAAATGCAGCCTGGTAGTGTACAAGCACCTGTAATTCAGCAGGTAAGGAAAAAGTTTTGAACAGATACTTTTGAAGGAGAAAACTTCATTAAAATTACTGTTGGTCAAATGGAAAGACAATACAAAATTGACAAAGTCAGGAATGGTATATGAAAAAGTTAACAAGTGTGGGTTTTTAAAATGAACGGTTTGAAGATATCATTTTCAAATGGTACTTAAGCCTGTATTCTCACTGGTCTCAGTTTAAAATTGATTTTGACTGATGAGAAATACAGTATGTACATAATTTTAGTCTATGATCTATTTTTTTTTATTAGGTAAAATAATTCTTTACAACTTAGAATTTAGAAAGAAATACTTAGAAAACCTGTCTACAAGATGGAGTTTGCATCCAGACTGCATGAATACTGAATTTAATATTGTGACACAGTTCTGTAGTTCTGGCCTGAATAACATGAGGAGAATTTAAAGTTAAATGCTTTATGAAGAAGGTTTGAAAATAATCTTTTATTTGAAATAAGACAAATACTGTATGGTAGTATGGTAAGGTTTAAGTGCTGGTATTTTAGAATGGAAAATGAGACGGTAGACTTTCTCAGGTTTAGTAGTGCAAAATGCAGGAAACAAACACCAGTTAGAGAGAAGCTGCACTATTGAAGGAATATTTGTAACTCTTGTTTCTCACTAAGTCAGACTGACGTGTGTGTTAGCTGTTTTCAGTGGCTAGTGGGTATTGACGTGAGCCATCGTAGCAGCCGCAGTAATTGCAATGATATTCCATCAGGTTTTGGCTCCCATCCCCGGAGGGATTCCGCAGCAGACAGGAGTGATCATTCAGCCTCAGCAGATCCTGTTTACAGGAAACAAAACCCAAGTCATACCTACCACTGTGGCGGCCCCGACCCCTGCCCAAGCACAGATTCCTGCAGCTGGCCAGCAGCAACCGCAGCAACAACAAGCGCAGGCACAAGCACCGCTTGTGCTCCAGGTCGATGGAGCGGGGGACACGTCCTCTGAGGAAGAGGAAGACGAGGAGGAAGACTATGATGATGATGAAGAGGAAGACAAAGAAAAAGATGGAGGTGAAGATGGCCAGGTTGAAGAGGTAAACTTGACATAATACTTGAAAGAAAACTGTCTCGTTGTTGTATTCTCATAGTATTGAGAATAGCACTTCATCTTTTACTTCATTTTCTTTTTCCCATACTGAGGTGGTGAAAACTCTTCATGTGTTAACAAAATGCCTTGAAGTGTAGCAGAGGGGACAGTGAAAATTGTAGTTGTTGGGAATGGCCTTATAAAATTGGTAGTAGGAGTATTTCCAGTATTAAGGAGATGTCAGCCATAAGATGATAAAGCCATCATAGAGATCAGAAATAGTCAACTGCTTTTGGGACTGACTGCTGCAGGGCAAAGCAAAGTTATGGAGGATGATAAAGGAGCCACGTTCTTCAGTCACTGTTTTAGCAGCCTGCTTCAGATTTGAAGCGCTTAAGAGGAGACAGGACAAGTAAATCTGGTTTGATTATATCTTAGAATTCAGTTGCCTTCTGTTACTCTAAACTCAAGAATTCAAACTTGACAATAAAATACCCTCTAGGAAAACATCTGACCTTGATTTAACTGGGTCAAGAGGCAGGAGTGAATATTCTTAATAACTTGTCGTGTACTTAGTTTAAGCTTTGAATTATTTAGGTTTCAGAATGCAGCCAGTGGCTCTTACTAAACCTTCTTTGTTGTTGTTGTTGTATCGGAGCCCTGGAGAAAAACATACTAATGTGTTAATAACTAAAATGACTTTCCAAAAATGCATTTTTGAACTGTCAGATCACTTCCACAGTTCTCTGCAGCCCTTCCAGTTACTTTAATATTCCATTTAAAATGTTGGTATTAGAAACACGTGTAGCATTTTATCTTGTAACTCATCCATGCAGTGTATGCAGGATAAAAACCTCTAGTTTTTATGAAGGAGTTTTTTTGTAGTATATCTACAGTGGTGTCTAACAGGATTTTCCTGCCCAACTTATTAGTTGGGTCCTCATTTACTTCTGATGTTGACCAACCCTGATGTCAGTCTTTAGTTATTGCCCCATTAAGTACACATCATCGTGCTTAAATATTAAGTGCTCATTAATATTGTCTTAGTGACAGGGCTTTGTGTATGTTTTTGTTTTGTTTTGTTTTTGTTTTTTCCGGTCAAGATTTTATTTTTTAGCATGCCAGAGAATCTCCTGTTACTTTTTTGCCCTGTTCATTCATTTGCTGTTTCATAACAAATAGAGCAGTTCCTTAAACTTGTTAAGTCACTTAATTCCTTCTATAATCATAGCATATTTAAGAACTCTGTGGTACACCTGTGTCCTCTACCATTAAGATCTTCCCAGTATAGCTTACATAGTTTGATGTAGGTGGGAAGATGAGGGTTATGTGGAAGATTTCAGGAAAATTGTTGTAATGTAATTTGTAATTGTATAAAATGGTGTATAATTGTAATTAGTAGTAGTTGTACTAGCTTTTGAAATATTTGCTGTTTACTTGAGATAGAAAAGGGTTCTGCTGTGACATTCTCACCACAGTTTGTAGGACTTAATGCAGGGTAATGTTTTTTTGACTATTAGACACTGTCAGACATTTCAGAGAAGAGGCAAGAATGTTCTAGAAGAGATATCTAGCCTTGGGATAGTCCTCTTATGTTCAGTTTGTAGCAGGATTGTAGACAGGAATCAGAAGGTCATTCTGGGAAGAGGAAATTGGACTCACAGTAGGCTTGCAGATCAGAAGGGGTATTTGTATATATTCTTGGTGTGGTATTTGGGGATGCTGTAGACGTGTTTTGATTAGGAAACTCCAAGCTTGGAAGTGTGAGAATGAAAGAGTAGTAAAGAGTAGAAATAGTTGCTCAATTTAGGAAGCGGGGAGGAAAAAAAAATGGGAGGGAGGAGGGGGGAGAGACTGTTTTTGGAAAGAAGAAAAGTAATTTTTAAGGGTCATTAAAATTCTTACTAAAATATCTGGAAAAGTTAGTCTACATGGATCTTTGTAAACTTAAGACAGTGGGTTTTTTTTCTCTCCTCCAAGAACAGTGTGTGTTGAGTTCTCTTTCAGCCTGTGGTACATCAGACAAGCATGAATTAGTCATGGCTATTTCTATATCTATTGGCACGCAAGGAATGATGTGACTAATGTATTTTTACCACTTAGCTGCTTTAAATAATGAAAACCTGCAGAATGATAAAATAAAATTTTGTAAAGATGAATTGCAAGCACCAGAGCATTACAGTTAAGGAATGAGTGTGGTCTACGCAAGGCTTTAGTCCCCAGAATCTGGCATGGGCACTAAAATTCCACATTAAGATTGGTAAAAAGCCTGGGGACAACGGCAGCATGGAGGGCAGAAGGGAACTGCCTGTTCAGAAAGCCTGATACTTAAACTTCAAATGCTGTTGTCAGGAATACAGTTTGTAGACAGATTATATGCTCATGTGAGTAGTCAAACTAGCAGCTCTAATCTTACTAAAAAGCATAACCTCTCTTTGTGTGTTGCCTTCAGGAGCCCCTCAACAGTGAAGATGATGTGAGTGATGAGGAAGGACAAGAACTGTTTGATACAGAAAATGTTGTTGTGTGCCAGTATGATAAGGTAAAATCTGTATAGAACAGAAAGAAGATTTTTTTTCCCTCTGTTCTTCTCCCTATCATGTCATACCTTTTAAATGATACTTTTGTCTATAAAGTAGAAACTGTGGTAGTGAATAAGACTCAGAGAAATTTGATTAAACTTCTATATCATGTGCATGTGCGTTCAACAACGAGTCAATCTTCTGGGCTCAGAAAATGTAAACTATGGCAGATGAGTTTTGGTATGTTTGCTATGACCGTAAGTGAAAGCAGTAGTCAGTGTGATTTAGACTTGATGCAAAACTGTTCATTGATGACTGCAAATTTTTCTTGATGATTTAGCAGGTATCAGAGGGGAATTGATGGCAGTGTGGAACACTTACTTTGCTTTAAATTCTGTTCAACTGTCTTCTCTCCTTTGTGCTCACTAATTTTTTTGGGCATATTTTCCTGGAATATGTGAGAATTCATGTCTATCTATATATTTTTTTAATTTGCCTGGAGGCTGTCACATACCTTTTTGCTGAGGTAGTATGTGTAAAGTTCCTTGATGTAGATTTTCTTCCTTTACCTAGGCTGGGTTAATTGGACCACAATGAATAAGGTTTCTTTTCAAGGGAGAAAAACCTGCAAGTTTTTGAAAAATACAATCTGCCATATAAAGAATGACTTGAGAAGAAATCTTCAGTTTTTTAAGCTATTTTCATTAACAGTCTTCCTGAGTTTTCATCAGAATTGGAGTTGTCATCAGGTTCAATAAAGAATTTAAGATGCTGCAAGCAGCATCAGTACCTGCATCCCAGCCATATGTCTCCTTCAGACTGTAATAATAATAATAATAAAAAAATCTTACATTCCAAGGGTCCTTACAGTCCATGAGGATAGTGAGGTACCTCAGCATGGTGGTCACAAAAGCTTGTTGGAAGCATCTGAAGCTGGACAACAGCAAGTACTCTGAAATCCCACCTTAAAGATTAAGAACTTGAGCTCAACAGGGTGCACTGTCCATTCTGAACCCCAAGTGCTGCACGCTCTGAAAAGATGTGACCACTTACCAATAGCTGTGCAGTTTGTCTTTATAAGATACACAGGATCAGCTCAGTTGTTCTGAGTAAAGTTCTCCTTGCACAATACTGTGTCTGCAGTGGGTGCATCTGGGATGAGATGAGAGCAGATGGACAGCGATGCTCACAGCAGGCACACTGCTGTCCTTACACAGAGTGTCATTAATTTGTTTGATTACTTTATGAATCTATGTAAACTTTGTCTTATCTCAGTGTTTCGTAACTGAGATAGGTCACGTGTGCAGAACTTCGTTGTTTTCAACTCCCTATTTTGATGTGCTACTGCCTAGCTATTTACTTAGAGGAGAGAGTAGTTGTTTCTTGTCTGCCTTATTTGTGTCTTTTATGAACGTGCAGTTTACCCTGTCTCTCCTTGGGCTATTCCAAGCCAGAGTCACTGACTCTGGTTGCTATCTGTATAGAAGTTGCCCAAACTTTAGATCATTCTTTCCTTTATTCTGTATACCTATTTTATGCTTCAAAAAGGATATAGAAGGAGGATCAGAAATATGCATGGCACAGGTGAACCTTCTACTTCCTGAGTAATACAATGACATAATAGTGCTCTGTAAATATTTTTGACACCACTGAGCAGAAAACTGACATCATTGACAGTGTTTTAGAACACCACGATCTCATTTCTAAGTTGTAATTCTCAGCTCAGACTCATCTGTTCTGGTATGCATGTATGTTGAAAAAAAAAAAATTTTATGTAAGTTATAAAACTTTTTTTTCCACCTGTTCTTGGCTGGTTTAAACCATCTGTGTTATGCTGACTGAAATGGAAATTTTTTGATTTCAAGTGGAGTTTCACAAATGTCATAAAGATAGTTTAGTCAAAGCATGGTGGATGGGTGTATTGTTTTCCCTTTTTCTTTACAATCACCTGTAAAATTGTGCTGTGTATGTTGGCTTTTGAAATGCCCCTGTGGCTGCATGATTTCTTGATGATTACTAAAACAGATCTCCCTAGATTAAAATCAATAAGATGAAAATATTGACAGGTATTTTTTTGGAACTAAATGCAGAATTGATTTTCAAGATGTTTCTAGTAATCTATTGGTGTCTAATTGTTGTGTCTGTTTGGTTGGTTGCCTTTATAATTACTTAAACACTACTATGTATTTTGGATGCAAAGTAATACTTATTTTTCCTATTTTTAGATTCACAGAAGTAAAAACAAATGGAAATTTCACCTCAAAGATGGCATCATGAATCTTAATGGAAGAGATTTTGTATTTTCCAAAGCCATTGGGGATGCTGAATGGTGAAGTTTTTAAGACAAAGCAAAACAAAACAAAACAAAAAACCTTCTCATAAGAGGAAAAAAAAATCAAAAGCAGGAAAGGTTGAGACTTGGACATATATTTCAACCAAAATATGTATCTGCACATCAAAAATAAAGCGTAAACAAAACTATTGGAACAAAGATAAAATGTGGCAACAAAGACACTACTTCAGATGAGCAAGCCATGGACTGTAGCAGCTATAGCATTGTCTGGGAGCTGGTTTTGTGTGTTAGGAAAACATTAATTATCAATTCTACCTACAGGTACCTACAGCTGGTATTTAGCATGTAAGGCTTTGTCTCCCCCTTCTTCCCTCGGTTTAAGATTTTAAAATGCTTCTTCCACTGATTGAAGGAACTCTTCCCTTTGATAGATTATTAATCTGAAAATGCTTATTGTGTGTACAAATCTTTGCTTTGGACACTTCCTTTTGGTAGTGAGGATGGTAAGAATGTTACTTAAAACTGCGTGCAAGCTTTGTACAGAAGGGTAAGAATTAAGGTGTTAAATTTTAAATAACGTGTATAAGGAAAATATTTTTAATTCTGATAAGCTCATTAATTATTATATCTATTTGTTGTTTTCAAATCCATTCCCCATAAACACATTCTTGTTCCTAGCAGTTACAAAATGGTAAAATGATCATTTATATTACAAAATTATTTTTTATTTCATGTGAATGGCATCTTTTATTTAGGACTGTATTTCTAAAATACTAAGCACCTGTAGCTCCCCCCAGAAAGTCAGACTGCTTAACTCTCGCTGTATTCTTGATATCTGATGGTTATTCAACATTGTTGAACTGAAAGGAAGGGAGTAGTAGTTTCTACTGACTCCTTACAAAGGCTTTGGAGACCTTTCAAATGAAATATGTAGGTAATCACCTAACAGATGCATTCCTTCACTAACATACTACATCTGTACTCCAGACATCCAAAATATTTGAACAGACCGCAGGAACGACTAAAGTTTTAACACAGAAAATCTCATAAAAGTTCTATTAGCTGCAAGTCTGTTAACCAGAGGTTTGCATACCAAAAAGCATAGCCTTAAGTTACCTGCAGCAGTTAATGTCTACATTTTCCAAGTGGCAGGTAGTTTTGTGAGGAGAACTGCGCAGCTTTGAGAACACAAACTTTGTCAGAGTATCTTTAGGCTGACTTGGTAATGGAAGATCAAGTAGTCAGATGCACTAAACCTCATGTAATAACTTTTTCACTTGCCTTTTCTAGAGCGATTTTGTTTGTTTGTTTTTGTTGTCAAAAGCAGCAAAATGGTTACCCCCCCTCCCCTCCTTAGAATTGTGAACACCTTTTCTTCATGCATTAGTTATTCTTCCAAAGCCTGCTTTGAGAAATGCAGGAGGAGAGGGCATGGGCATTATACTTAGTGTTGAGGAAGGAATGTTCATGTTCATTGCTGTTTCAGCAAAGGTGTTTTGTTGGGTGCTTGGAAAGAAACAATGAAGAGGACATGCACAGTAAAGATAATTTTAACTGAATCGGGGAAGAATTTCGGGAACAGGCATTTAACCCATAGCTTCTGGCCTTGAGACTGAAATTTTTGAAACATAATTCAACAAAGTCACAAGTGTATTTTAGCAGTATATAAGCACTGTCCTCATTCTCATTCTGCTTTACTTACCACAAAGTGCATTCATAGTCTAAATAGCATGTAGAAAATTCAAATACGTTGTAAAAAGCTGCTGTGTTTTTTTTTTTTTTTTTCCTGTGGCTTTTCACACCTGTGGTTTCATTGACACAGATTGAACCTGTCTGTAGGCCATGTCTAGAGCCATGTTTGCTAGTAAGTCACCTGCATACATAAACTTTTGAAAAGTTAATTTCTGGTTTTATTCGTTCATTGTTAAGCAGTGGCATAATCATATGGACTACACTTTTTGGCTTGGGGCTTCAAGGTATCTCAAACCAGCTGGTGTTCGCTTCCTTATAAACAAAGCAGATTTTTTTTTTTTTAACCACTGTTGACACTTAAACTGTGTAAAACTGCAATGAAATTAATAATATATCAGCCAGTTCCTTATCTTCCCCATGTCTAATACCAGTAAGTTTTAAATAATGCACTTCAAACAAATCCCATAGTGCTGCACAGCTGAACAAGTTAAAGAAGAAAAAAAAAGTCCTTTCAGGTATAGATTCCTGTTTATGCTACTGGAAACCAGGTTACTGTACAACACACTTTTTTCCTACGTCTTTGATTCTTCACCCACTTGTGTATACCAGAAACTGCATAGCCTTTTTATTTCTTTCTGAGGGATACCAGAACTTTAAAGGTAACTTGAGCATAGCCTGTTTGGAAGGGTGTTGGACGCTATCTGAACTTGCACAGTCTCTTGCAAGCTAATTGTATGGTATGCTTGTCAGATGAGAAGTTTTGTCTTCAAATACAAGTACCTGTGAAGTTTTCTGAAAGCCAGTCAAACATGAACATACCAAACTGTGCTCTTATTGCTACATCAAGTGTTCCTTTTTTTAAATCAAAAAGCATGTTTTAATTTCATTTTATTGTAGCGGCTTGCGGTAAGAATGTAGTTTGCTTAATTTTATTATTGTACTTGAATTTTTAATCATGGTTTTAACAATGTAACTGAACAGACCATTTCATTAGGTTCCACAGAAGCCATTCCTTTCAGAGGGCAAGGGATTCCCATGTTCGTAGTCCATAAATGATGTTTTTTTTTTTTCTTCCCCTTGAAAGAGATTTTTTTTCATTTAAATAGTTCAGTATTATGGAAGCAATTCATTATATGAAGAGGGCTTATGTTTAAATTTGCACAGATAATGGAGCACCTTTTTATGATGGAAAAATATGGGGAAAGATAACCTCATAATTATAACTGCGATGGCTGATGGAAACTTGCAGAGGAACTAGGCAAAAGCCAGAGTCTTGTGCCTTTTCAGTTTGCAGAATACCAGTTTTGCCAGCATGACTTTTTTTGGTTCCTGAGAGAGTAGATTTCCTGCAGTGCTTCAAACATTAAAAGAAAAAAGTTTGCTCTAATTTTGAATTTTAGTGTGTGCAATCATTTAAAACATCTTCTTTGAAAACCATTTGAAATATGTTTTCTGTTAGGAGGTAATAGAGAATTTAGTTACATGAGGGATTTTATATTGGACTATTTAAATAAAAAGTATGATTTTTATTCCCCCCCCCCAGTTGCTGGGTAGTGACAAGATTTCTTCAAGGTTTCATATTCTTGCATTGTTCTTGCATTGTAATCAAAAGTAGCATTTGAACATCATTTGTTTTCCCCAATCATGATTTAAAAGAAAAATTGTGGTCAGAGTTTATTTTCCAGTCTGATATGTGATTCTGAAGCAGATTCTAGAAAAGAATACAGAAAATATTGTGTCATGTCAATTTTTTCATAAATACTTTTCTATTTCTCCTGCAGAGGAGTAGCGTTTGTTTCTTGAAGGCAGTTCTACCACTTGGTAGTTAACAGTAATTATGGCACCGTAAAACTGAGTAAAATTCTGTAGTTTCAGTGCAGGAGTTGAAGATCTGGTGAACTGACGTCCCTTTTGAGCCAATCTCTTGATATATCAAAAAATTCTTTAAATAATGAAAAGGAACCCCCAACCTCCGTGGCCCCCCGGCTCCTCCAGCTTCCAGAGCTGCCCCGTGGGGCGCAGGGAGAAGCGCAGGAGGCGGCGGTGGCCGCAGGTTGATGCACACTGGGGCCTTGCAAAACGTCTGGGCGTGTGTGGTGTCCTCGCCAGCCCCCTGCCCTTCCTTTGAAGTCAGAGTTTTGAAGTCTAGATTGTGAGATTGATTACAAAAGGATGCTCGTTTTTACGCATAGGTGTCTCACATTTAAAGTCTTGTTTTCCCATTAATGAGATTGGTTGGGATTTTTTTTTTTAATTTTAATTTTTTTTAGTCCTTTGGTTTCCCTGTTGTCTTTTTTTATTATTATTACTACTTTTTTTAAAGCACCTCATGCAGTGTGTCTTTGACTTATTATTTGGTGGATTAGAGATTGCGGAACAAAAGGAACTTGTTTTTTTAACAGGAAGAACTGCCCTGGGTTAGCTGTATGTGCAGTCATCTTATGAGACGTGTTCCAGAATGCATAGGGTACCAATAAAATATGGAGTGGGGGAATATCCTTTTTTGCTGTTCTGAGCTACTATTGTCAACTGCTGTTGTACATATACTGTTATGTGTAAGGGGGTAAATATATTTATTATGTTTGTAAAATTCATTCTGTACAATTGCAGATCAAGTTTGCTCTTCTGTGATATACAGAATATTATGTTTCAAAGGCCATGCTTGGAATACAATTAGAGAACTTAGTATTTTGATGTACTAAGACCTATTTTAAGTTTAATATTTTGCCTTTGCAAAAACTTTAATTAAAGATGTTATTTAAAAATGTTTGCCACTTCATTTACTATCTTGCATGTGCATTTGTTAAATATAAGGTGTTCAGTGCAGGGTGTAGTAACACCGAAGATTCTGAATTTATTTTTCATAGCAATTTCTTCAAGCTAAGAGAAACAGTGTTTCTTTATCTGCCACCTCCTTTGCTCCTCCACAAAGCTGAATTTGCTTTGTGGGCTCTCTATTTAGCATAACTATGTTGTCTATTTTAATTTTGAGGCTAGATTTTCAAATTTATTTAATAATTTTTTCCTTGCGTAATCTGAGACTTAGGTCTTGAGGCAGCATTGTCTGAATAACTCCATGTGCCACCTTGAGAAAGAATCCTATAAAAGGCAGGACACTGCTGAGGATTCAAATGCTCAGTCCTTAGAGGAGAGCTGATGGCAAAGGCTTCACCAGGAAACCACTCCGAAAAAACGGCCTTCCCGCAGGTGAGATCCTTGGAGTTCCTGTCTAACAACAGTCTCTTGAGACTTGACTAATGCTTTGTTTTTTTCTAAACCTGTATTTTGACCTCTAAATTCTAAGTATATTCGGAGAAGAATAATGTAGGCCATATTTCCTAAAAAGAGGGTTGTATTCTGGAATACAGTGATTTTGAAATAATCTTTTAGCTCTAGTTGTGTAAGAATGTAACAAGGCAACAGTCATATGGAGTAGTAATTTTTCCTTATGTGTAGGAGGCTTTACCCAAAGCATTTTCTTCGTAATCTAATACTGATTTTCTCCTGTGCTTTACAAATGATTTTGAAAATAATTTGGAGATGACTCCAGATAGATATCACAATTTAGGAAAAAATGGCCTGTCAAAACATTTTCAAAAGAGCCTTTCTCTCAGGGAGGGAAAGTAGATCATATTAGTGAAAAATTAGTTGACAAATTATTAGCAATGTTAAAAACATTCACGGAAAAATGAGAACACTATTATTACAAATTTTAACTGAATTTCCCATTGTGTGCCTTGAGTAAAGTATTTGAGTGGTTTTTTTTTTTTTTTTAGTTGTCAAAAATACCTTAAGATAAGCCTAGCTTTTAATATAATTAATTTCACCTAGGCATTTCTTACAGTTTGTGTTAAACTGCAGCAGTCTTGGAGTCTTGGGGGCTTTCCTGTTCATAAAAATGCTTTGCTTAACTGTCAAAATCTCCAGTCTTTATTATAAAAGCTGACTATCAATCTTCTTTTAAACTAATTTTCCACCAGTAATGGGATTATGCAAAACCTCTAATCCTTTTAGATGCCATATCTCTCATCTATAGTACAGTCAAGTGAACTACAGTTAAGCTACTTTCAGCTTCCAGTGCAGCTATT